ATTCCTGCTACAGGAGAAGACATCTTTAAAGAGGCTGCAGGAAAATGGCTGTCACCCAAGTAATACTGGTTCTCTTCTGTGGAGAAATCTGGAATTCACTTTCTACAGTAATACCTCAAAACATTTCCATCAGTAAAAGAAACGCACACACCAGCAGCAGGAGCCCAACAGAAGACAAAGCTCCTCTGTACCAGTTGCAAGCAATTGGACTTAGTTTACACAGATCTGGAAGAGCCCTGAATGTTCCGCCACCAGCTCCATCCCCCAAAGCAAATGTGGAACCTAGTGATGGAGGCTGGATAGCAGCAGTGATCATTGGCATCATTTTGATTAGCATGATATTGGCTATTATTATAATCCTTGTGTGGAAATGCTGCAAGAAGCCAGTTCTGATTGACTCAACCTGGGCAGGTCGTTCTCCATTTGCAGATGGAGACATGCCAGAAGTCCTTGTGGACTCTGACCAGGCTACCAAACGTTCATCAGTGTTATTCATGTTGCCTTGGAAATCAAAACAAGACACACACTTAGAACACAACCCCATTTCCTCAGAGAAACCACCTGCCAGCACTACCAGTAATGAAACAAGCCAACTGCCTCCACCAGCTGAAGATTGCTCTGTAGCCACGACTTCAGGTTCCCCCACGGATCCAGCTCCAGCTCCTACCTCAGAAGCAGACAACTGTGCACCTGTCTCCTGTCCTCCCCCAGCACCTTCACCTGGATCCTCAGACCTGCCACCTCCACTTGACTGGCTCAGGGAACCAGCTGAGGATCTCAGTGCTAATCTCAGCAAGAACCAGGAATTCCACTTGGAAACTGAAGAACAATTGCCCCCACCACCTGAGCCATTTATTCAAGAGATCCACGAACTACTGCCCCAGCCACAAGACCCTTTGTAGAGTGCCAAAACTGCTTTCCAGCATACTTCACCTTTTTTTTAATGAAGTATGTTCAAATAACTAAAAAAAGGAGAAGTGGACTGAGGCAAGAACAGTGAGACCACAGCATGGGCATTTCCCCAGTGTTTCTCAATTTCAGCGTTCACAAAAGGGAACAACCTGCTTCTGCTTGAAGCAAATAATTTCAAAACACAATCCAGATTCTGCCCATTAGTTATCTGTAATTAATGATTCCAGATTTTGGAGGTGACAGGAAACAGAGTATGCAAACCTCTGTGTGCCAGGACACATGGTCGTGGAGCTTTCAAGACACAGCACAGCTTGAGAGGTGCTCTGAGCTTTTACAAATTGTTCTACTAGGCTGTATATGCAAATGCAGTGAATTCAAGTTAATTTTAATAAAGCTTTCTAAATAAAGATGTTCTGGTCACTTTAAAGCACAACTGAGTATTTGCTTAGATAAAAAGATTCAAATTCCAAACCAAATTACAATTCTTTTTTTGGGTCCAAACCCTCATTTTTAAGGCCCAAATCCTCACTTCTGCTTTCCAAACTCAAATTTTGAGGGTCTAGTGCCCCCATTTTAGTGGCCAAAGTCTAAAGGCCTCAACATGACCATATTGTCTTTCATACAAAGGCCCATTTTCTGCATACAACAAGGTAACAACCTGGAACCAATGGATCACAGGTATCCCAAACAAATCCTCTCAATGGGCATCCCTTCTTCTTCCCTAATAGCAACAGAATTTCCCTTAGATCAAATACTGCCAAAAAGTTTACTGGTGTAAAACCTTCAGTCACTTCACACTACAGTTTGGTAAAGCAGAGAACAGTGTAAGTGAACAGTTAACACAGTGGTTACTAAAAAGTAAAAATGGCTCCAAACACTGGAAGAACAAATATCAAAAAACTTTCTTTTACCCCCAGGACTTTTATGGAGAAATTCCAGACAGTTTGCACAGCAGGCAAATAATTTGCAGAATGAGTTGTGCACATTGACTAATTTCTTCCTCTGAAGAAGGAAGACTTTGTGCACATTGACTAATTTCTTCCTCTGAAGCACTATTTTAGAATGCAGTCAATATTACTCATATAAAATTTAAATATTCATTTAATATTGCCCAGATGTCAGATTCCTTTTAACTCAAGGTGTTCTCAGTGTGCCACGTGTGTCTTTCTGAGCCCTGAGCACAAGTGAAGCTCAGTGTCCTGTCTAGACACAGACCTTTTGAGAAGCCTTTTAGTGGGAAGTAGGAGGATGGTATCAGAAGTAAACGAATTTTATTTTACTTTAATGAGTATTGAATGATTACATTTATAGAAAGAAGTTGCTTTATGCTGAAGCTAGTCTTCCACAACATCTCTGCAATATGGCAAAGAGATCAGTTTTGAGTTTGCTTGGGGAGGGAATATCATGGTGAATGTTGCACAGAGCACAAGTTTGCACATAGTGTAACAATAAACTTCACAATCTTTATCCATAAAATTGAAGTTATAAGTGGTGCAAAACCTGTTCTAGACTGCTGTGCATAGAAAAAGATATTTACAATTTTCTCCTCCCATTTATATAAGCTGTGTGATTGTGTATGCCTCAAGTATAGCACCTGAGTTAGAAAAGATTTCTCTGTTTTTTTAAGGCTTGTTGCATTACACTAGGTTAAAATTAACAGCACTATAAACTACATCCGCTCTTACATTGCTTGAATAAATTCAGATACAAGTTCTCCTAAGGGAATCTATGAAATCCTACAAATCCTATATTATACCTGACAATGTAGCCTGATCTGAGGAGTAGAAAACTAAACATTTTAAAATCAGGAGAAGATCTTCTCACAGTATGGCTTAAAAAAGCCTAAGATAGAAAATCTAAATTAGCATTAACCTTTATTACAGGAGGAGAGGTTCATAGAAGGTAAAAAAGAACACAACTTAACATGACTTTTTAAGCAGGAACCTTTAAATGGAATCATAGCTTAAGCTAAACCAGCCCACAGACACTTCCCTGAGAGCGGCTTGGGGAGCAATATCACATCTGACGCCGTGAGGCATTAACAGGGCATAAAATCTAGATATGGAGAAGTGATTCAAATTATAAAACCCAACTCTTTTTTTTTTTTTTTTTGAGTAGGCTCCTTTTGCAATCAATTTGAGTCAGCACCAGCTCTGCAGTCCTCCAGTGTAGTGCAGATCAGGTGGTTGCAGAGCCCCAGCCAGCAGCAAGACGATGCAGCTGAAGAGACAAGCACAACCCACAGACAGCAACTGTAGCTACTCTCTAGAACAAGGCGACCTCTGAGCTATATTCTTTCCCAGAAAAGATGTGCTGATATTGGAGAAGAGATCACGGTAAGTTTGTGCTTTTCATTTTTAGTCACACACAAGAAAAACAAACAACAAACAAAACAACAAACCTACTACAAAATTAAGGGGCAGAAATAAAAGCAAAACGATGAGTTGATGACGGATGCTTGCACCAGAAATTTGCTGCAGTGTCAGAGATTGGTTACTAACATTAATTCAGCTTTCAAACATGTGTTACCAGCTTTGAGAATGTAATTAACACTTGAATAAGGAAAAATAACTATGTGCATGTTAGCATGAATGTGGAATTTGGGTTTCAAACTAAATTCCTAACATTTTAAGATGTATTTTAAGCAATTCTACTTAAGGAAATAGCATCTATGTATGGGGGGGACTGCTACATTGCTGCAGAGATTTGTAAAGCAGATCTAGTTGACAGCCATTTTTCTCATCCTGTATAAAAGAACACATTATTCGAAACATAATATAGGCTTGAAATCACTAAAAACAAGAAGCAGACATTGTATAATGTTTGGAAGAGACTTGCATTTTCGGAAGAAAGCCCTCATTTGAGCTTGAGGGGGAAAGGGAGATGAAAAAACAAGTCTCATTCTGCCAGACAACATGACAGTCTATGAAGGGATGCTTTGTAAAAGTCTCTCTTGAACAATTCTAAAAAGGACCATGCCACAAAGGGGTTTATTGATATTTTTACTTAATTTCTCCTGCAAGTGGTTGTTGCAAAGACAACCCTTAAAAAGAAATGAAAGATATTATATGGATTTAAAAGGTGTCATTTTGGTATATTTATTTCCAGGCAACAATGGAATACCAGATATTGAAAATATCTCCCTGTCTGCTGGTTCTTCTGTTTTTTATACCCACTGTTCTGGGTATCTGTCCTTCTAACTGTACATGCTCAGGAAACGACAGGAATGTGGACTGTTCAGGTAGAAACTTAACTATACTGCCACATGGACTTCAAGACAATATTACATATTTAAATCTGTCCTTTAACCAGTTCGTAGATCTCGACCATCAGCTAACAAGATTCACCAATTTGAGGACCCTTGATATTTCAAACAATTGGCTCAAGAATGTTCCTGCACATCTGCCCAAGTCCTTATGGGAATTATATGCCAGAAACAACAACATTAAAGTTCTTCAGAAACTTGACACCGCTTACCAGTGGAATCTTAGAGTGCTCGACGTTTCCAGGAATATGGTGGAAAGAGCTGTTCTGATCAACAACACCCTGAGCAGTCTCAAGTTTCTCAATCTCAGTAGCAACAAACTTTGGACAGTTCCAACCAACATCCCCTACAACATAGAGATGGTGGATCTATCCAACAACTTCTTGTCCCAGATACTCCCAGGAACGTTGCTGAGGCTACAGCACCTCACAAGCCTCTACCTGCACAACAACAAGTTCACATACATTCCTGACAAGGCTTTTGACCAGCTCTTGCAGCTCCAAGTAGTAACACTGTACAACAACCCATGGGCCTGCAGTGATGAACAGAATATCCCATATTTGCTGAAGTGGGTGCAGGAAACAGCTGCCAGTGTGGTGGGGGCTCCCTGTGCCAACCGTTCCATGCTCTGGGTCCATGGCACCCCTACTCCCCCCAGCACAGACTCCAGCCTCATGATTAAGGGAATGAAGGCAGCAGATCAAGCTTCTTCCCCAGTGGCAACTGAACCAAGCAAAATGACCAAAGTGCATAAACAGTTTAAAGCCAAGGAGGTGACTACCTTGGCAACCTTCAGCCAGACCATACTGTTCACAAGCACAGAGCGACCACCGCTCCTCTACCCAGAAGACCTGACAACTGGGAAGGTTGGCTCTCAAGAAGCAGCTGCCACACACACCATCTACATCAAAGATTCAACCGAGGTGAACTCAAGCCTGGCTCGTTCAACAGGATCATCCACTACTCCTATGACTTTAAGTATCACCAGTGGAATGCCAACAAACTACTCCAAAATGCCTCAGAGCACAACTGCTACCTTAAGGAAAGAGGAATCCACAACAAACGTTTTGAATACTCATCAGCCCTCCAGAGCAAGTATCTGTGAGATATATTTGGTTTATGTCGTTATGCTTAATGCTGTGGCAATGTTTATTGGCTAAGGGCTTGTGTCTTGTGAAATGTACTGAGTTTATTCCTGTGATACATCGCTGGAGCTAAGACATCAGGTCAAATAATGAATCAAAATACCAGAAACTCAAAGTTCTGACTCTGATCTAAAGAAAATAACAGTTCTTAATTAAAGAAGTGCAGACTAATGTCTTGATACTAAGCTGCTACTATTTTAATATGTCTTAATCGAGTAAAACTAACCTATGATTTTGTTTTTAAAAACGTGCTTATTTTGTATTTAAATTTTTAATTTTACTTGCACAGAATAAAACATAATTTTAAGTACTGGTTTTATGTATGATTTTGTCATTAAACAACTGGAAAAAAAATAGAAGGCCTGTATCATATCTGCATTGTCTTGCTTGACTTGCCAGTGAGCAATTCTTGTAATATAGCAGCACAGATTCTTTGTAAGTTACAATGACATGCAAAAGGGAGGGAAAAATAAAGGAACTAAACCTAGCTGTTCCACTAATCAGAAATTATTCCTGAGAAAAACTGCTAGCATGTGTATCTATGTTTGCTTCATATGTATTAGGATACTTTCAATATGAAGAACAACAGTTTTGAATTTAGGAATTAAGTATGATAAGGCCGTGATGTCTCCTAAGAGGGTGTAAACTGAGCTGGCAACACGGTCCAACTTCAGCATGGGAAAAGTGACTGATACCTCTTTTTGCTCTGTCTTGACTTAAGAGACTGCAGGCAAGTTATTTCCCATTCTCCATATTAAAAAAAAAGAAAAAGAAAAAAAAAGTAGAGGAAAACACAAGATGTTCAATGCCATGACACACTCCAACAACAAGGAGGGTTCTACACAAACTAATGAAATGCAACTCTTGGAATTTATTTCAAGTGACATCCAAAAATGTAGAAGGTTAACATGTTATGCTTAAGAGAACAAACCAAACTACTACTTTTTGGTCAGTAAATTATCAGCCAATTTCTAATCCCAGTTACTGAATATATCAATTAAGCAATTAGTTGTCAAGCTGTCACTGAAAGAATCCTTGAATCTTTTTACTTAAAAGAAAAATTAACTCAATATCCATGGCATTGAACATGCCCAACTCCTTGCTTCATAAATATGAGCATGATTACTATTCTCCTTGACATCTGCACCATCAGCAAGTAGAAATAGTTGCACGTGTGGTTCTGTCCACCCTAGGAAAATAATCTAAATTACGTGGCAAAGGTACTTGATATACTACAGATGAAGTTCTGCAAACAGCATGAAATGAAAACTGAAGAACAAGTTCACTGAAGAAGTATTATTCACTTAATATTACAAATCTTTATACAATGTTTTCCATTCATTTCAGGCCATTTAATTTCCAGTTATTGTAGCATGAAGGTGCTGCAAAACCCAGAAAACCTCACAACTGAGACTGGAGTCCTCTACCTACTTCTCCTAGGTGTCAAGGAGGGATGTAGACCATTTACAACCACTGGTATCAGAGAAATCACAACTTTCCAATTGTGAACAATATTTCTATAATCAGAAACGTGTTTTAATTTCTAACAGTAAATGTTACACAACGAATTTGTACAGTTATTTCATTGGCATTTAAGTAAGAATAAAGTTCTGTTTGTATTGAACTGAAGTAGTGATAGTGCTTCTTTTCAAATAAGCATAGCTATCAATGAATAATATTTTGTTACACAAACCCATTTCAAGCAGTCATATGGTTCAGTCTTCATGTCTTGGGGGGGAAATAGTAGTTAAATTATTTTGATACTGATGTACTGGAAATACTGTTTATTAATAAGCTGATTAAGAGTAACATAATGTTTACTCTTCCCTTGTTACTCCTTAGAACTTGCAAATCCCTGTTCATAAGAAACAGGCAGCTCTTTCTCCCTCTCAAAAAATACTCTGCAAGTTCAAAAGGACAGAGAACTTAAAAACAAAAACAAAACATCCCAAAGACTGACTTTTCATATCCATTTTAGGTAGACAAAAACTAGTTCTCCACATCAAAGTTTAGACCATAAACAATATGTGCCTGGCACCTCCAGTGACCAGCAGAAGGGCCTCACTATATAAAGAGACCACCAGCAGTCTGAAAGAATTGCCCACTCTCACAAGTGCCATATATTTTCCCCAGGCTAAATAACCTAACACAAACTGATACATTCCACTAACTGGGATGAGTATTAAAAAAATGTCATAGCCTGCCAGTCTCTCTGGACAGTCAATGTATTTGGTAAGTACTGAAGGATTCCAAAACAGTATCAACCTACTCACCACATTCAGAAATAGGAACTTCCTACAATTATCTCATTCTCTTGGTTTCATCCCACTCAGCTGAAAGTAGCTTAGCTTATAAGGTAGGACAGAGATCACAAAACGAGGTGCTATGACTAAACCACCTTGAGCTGAGGAAATTACATTAAATCCTACACGTGCCTCTGCTGAAGAATTCAATACAGGATGCCAAATTCTACTGGATGCAAAAAACCTATAAGGAACCAACTTCACATGTTCTGAGGATGTTTCACCCATAATGATGGTGGTGACTTCCTGAGAAACACTGTTTTCCAGAAGCTGTTCAGGGCAAATTTCAAGTCCGCATTTTGAAGAAGCTGCTACCCAGACTTCAAAGTCTTAAGCATACTGATAAAAGCCTGGAAGTGGAAAAGAATTGTGGATTTTTCCAAATATGGGTACAAGAATGGGAAACCAGGAAACAAATCAATTACAGTTGGGTATGGCAGTGGGGCACAGCCCTGAGGTCTAGGGCTTGGGGTAGGTACAAGCAAGAGGGCTTAGTCAGACTGCTTTCAATAAAGCAGACTGAAATTTAGGTTTCCTTGTATTTTTCTGGAATACAAATGAGATGATAAGGGAGCAGAGAGTAGGCAGGCAAATGTGGGAGTCGTGCACTTGTTGCTTGGCAACGGTGCAGTCAAATTGAAATAAAACCCATCGGCACGGATGGGAACACGGCGGCATCGGGTTGTGTTGTTCTAAACATGCTGGTCATTCAGTCCATGAGAAATATAAAACAATATATGCTCAGAGAAATTATCTTTTCTTTCCCCCTAAATAACTATATTGCATTTCAGGACAATATTCAAAATACCCTAAAAAGGCCTAGCACATCATGTAGTTGACACACGTTTGCTTTGGAAAGGTTTTGGCCATAAGCACAGCCACAGTCTGAAGCAATAACTCAAAAGGTTTGTATTCCTATTAATTAGTTTGGGATATCAGCTTTAAAACTTAATGGCAGTACTTCAGGATCAGTATTCATTGATTTATTGCTCATTTTACTGAGAATGTAGGGATTTAAAACAGAAGATGCTTTCAAAGCCAAGTTGTTGCCCAGGTAACAAAATGTGAAGAAAAATGACAGAAGGGACTAAATTTCACAGCACAAACAGGATATAAACTGATCCAGATATACCAGTAAAATGACTCAACGATGTCCTAGCAACAAGATCTCAAACTACAAAAAAAATTATATATAAAAAAATATTAAGAAATCAGCCTGCTCTAAGTCCTTTAACATCCTGGCAGCTCCAATCTAAACAGTCTTTCCACATTTCACACCTTAAACAACTCTTACTTACTCCGCCACAACAGTGAATAAACACAACAACTGGGAGGAAAACTGAGTTTCCAAACATCCATTTTTATTCCTGAATTTTCAGGATCAGTCTTTTTCTCATGGCAGCAGTTCAACTGATCTGAACATTACCCAATATATATTCCTCAAAAATTTACTGACATTCAACTGCATAAAGTGATGTGGTCTAAAACAATCAGCATGCTTTTAAAAAAGGTATCTTGAAGCTGATACGTGGTGTCCTTGAGCACAGATCCTTTTCTTGAGCCTATGCAGAAATCAGCTTAAGCAAAAATGATACTCCCAAGAGTAATTTGAAGTGTTGAGAACAAGTTAGGCCCCAAGGCAACACAGCATTTTAAAACATGTCCTTAGGTAAACTCCTGAAACTCTCTGGCCAGATTCAGTGTCAGGAATCTCTTGGAAATAAATGGGCTTATAAACAAACAGAACAAACTAATCTCCGTTTCAGCACTGTGTACACTCACTTTAAAGTACCCTTTGAATCTTCATGGTATCACTGATCACAAATTTAAAAGAATGAACACAGTGCAATGCTCAAACTTTAAATCTGTTCCCAGTTCAGACTCACATGGAGCATTCAGCTGTCCCAGTAAAGTCACTCTACAAGCCACGTGAAGTGTTTTCTGAAAAGCAGAAAACAGCAGTGGATGCTGGACATGCAGACATATGTTTCACTGGAAACAAAAGAATTTTGGTTTTCTCTCAACAGCAATCACAAATTTAAAAGAATTTAAGTGTTCCCTCCCCTATGTTATCACCTTGAAAAAAAAGTGGTTTGTGCTGGTTTTGTGTTGTTATCTTTTTTTTTAAAGCAAGAAAAAACCCTTTGGCATGCCTGTAGAGAATTCCAGAAGAAGGAAACAGTTTTGAAATTTATTTTACCTTCCACATTGATACTGAACAGAAGTTTTGTTTGTTTGTTGCTCTGAAAATCAAAAACAACATAAAAGAAATGTGAACAGATATATTCATTTGTTGGATCTTTAATTGCATCCTGGCTAGGAAACCATATTTAAGTAGCAGAATTCAACTACCACGTTAGTTCTATTTGGAAACGTTCTTCAGAGAGTGCTCATGCTTTAGCCTCCAACCTGATTTTGGAATAAAGTATGTTTGTTATCTAGTGGTAAAATATTAAAATCTTCAAATCATTAAAATTGGTCCCTATTTGAAAATTTCTGAGGGGAAATGACAGAAGTCACATGGTGTAACAGAGCACAGATATTCTCTGAAAGGAAGTTTGTAACTGCAGCTACAGAGTGAAGAGCACTACTGAAAACAATGAAAAAAATAGAAAAATCAGTAACTTCAATAATATGAAATTATAATTTAAGAATTCTTACATGCCTGTGGGGTATCATTCTCATTAGAAATATGTACAGTTGAAGAATGAC